GAATTGATACAGATATACCATCATCCACTGATGCGACTCTCTGATTGTCATCCTTGACTACGAATACTCCATTCGTCGTCCAGTTCGCGTTGGATCGACAAAACATTGACATTATCCAGACGTAACATATATTATCGGATTCCCATTTTTCAAGATTTTCACGCAACTTATGTTTGGTAAAATATAAAAACCTCAAACTTCTATTTATACCATAAACCCCAACGATTATAAACATCTAATGTTTTAAAATGTTCGGTCGAACTCGTCACCTCGACGTGACGAGTTCAATAGATATTTTATTTTATAAATTTTATTTTTTATTTTTTAAAAAATATTTTTTTAATGAATTCATCACTTTAACTTGACGAGTCATTATAACACCAATTAAATAATAGCACACACATATCCCACTAAGAGAGCTATTAAAAAATAATATCTAAGATGAGGCCCACTACTCTGACAATAACAAATGACATAGTTTGTTAAATAAAATTCGGGTAAGTCCAATACCCTAAAGTTTTTACCCGCTTGAGGTATTGGAAAAAAAAAAACCCACAATGTGACCTATGTGCACGATCCGTATTTCAGATTTTATTTCATCCAAGTTTGGATTTGATCCGTGTAAATCATTTTTTTCAATGGTTTGAGTTTTTTTACAAGGTGAGTATTAAGTTTTAATTTTTTTAAACTGCAAAAATAAAACAAAAATGTAAAGATTGAAACGAATGAAATATATATGAGTAATCGAATTTATTAATTAAATCATTCTTGTATTCATATTCCACATATCATTAACTATAAATATTGACTGTTAATAGATTAATATTTTTTAAAGAATTATTTTTATTAAAAATAAAAGATTGGAAATTAGAAAAATAAATTAAAATGATTGTTTGTATCATCAAGAGTTTTGACATTATACGAACTAAATTATTTTAATAATTAAAATAATAATAATTTTTTTTAAAGATTACATACTCGAGCACAATAACTGTCAACATAATGATTAAATTCAATTATCAAATAGTTAAAAATATTTAAAATAAATATTTTATAATAATAATAATAAAATAGTATTGTATCTAAAAACAAAGAGGACTATGAGGAGCAATGCGGCTGAAACATAGGGTAACAATTCCAGGAACAGGTTAAGTTAACCCGTTGAAGTCTCTTTACCCTTCGCATCAGTACCCTGAATCAGTATAGTAGAGACTATAGAGAGTGCTTTTTGAACTAGAAGATTGTTTCCTTGTTCGTCTTTCTTTTGACGATCGCTAAAGCGTTCGAGTCTGAACGCAAATTTCCACTGAAAGATTAGATTAGGGTTTTCACTTGATTATCGATGGAAATCATCAGAAGAGCTTCTCATGCAGGATCTTGGTACACTGATAACCGTAAGTCCTTTAATGCTCTTTTCCTTCCTCCAGGCTCCAAACCCTTAACGATTCTCGTAACTAATTCCAATTATTGCTTTTTGCCTACCTTTGTGCGAATTATCTAGTCGAGGAAAAAATATCGTTGATTTCAAGAAAATTAAACAGTTGATCAATGTGGATTGAGGTGCTAAGCCAAGTAATTTCGAAGAGTCAATTTAGATAGTGCCATTTATGGAATGAATTAGTCTTCTGTTAAGTAAAGCTGGATGAAATTAAATTCGTTTAAATAGTTTTAAGTGTTGAATTACAATATTATTAACTGAACTGATCTTCTGAAGTTGAAAACATTGATGGTTTCAACTTGTACATTAAGGCTTTAGGTAATTCATTGTTCACGCCTTGGGTGTAGCTAATTACATTTGTAATTCAAACTTCTAAGAAAACAACATAGTGATTGTTTTTTAATATTCGAGAAATTAATCAATAAAAAGCGAAATGCTGTACTTTTTAAATTATATACATACACATTTATATTTATATATACAATTTTCTCAGCAAAAGAATTAGCGGAAGAGCTTGATGGATGGCTTATGGAGGCTGGCTTGCCTCAATCTTCTGATGTAAGAGGTGTAATTGCTCCGTAAGTTGATCTCTCACCTAGTTATTTGTTTCTTCCATAACATTACTTAAAGTTTTAATGTGTTCTCTTGCTTCTGGTTTTACCGTGACTTGGGAAATTCAGGCATGCAGGCTATTCATATTCAGGACGTGCTGCTGCTTATGCTTTTGGAAATATAGACCCAACAAACATGTGCGCCTTTTATTATACTTCTCCTCTTTGATTGCTATAGTTCAATATCACATGATGTATCTCAATTCCCAGGAAGTATGCTTGTTTTTTTAATCATTAATCATATCTTGAGCTAAATTTTGTTCAGATGGTTTGTTCTGGGTATGTGAAGGTCATGATATTTGAACTATAACTAATTACTTCATCTGCTTTGTTTATTGCTAAAACTGACTGATATGTGAGAAAATTTATAAGTGCAGTTCTCGTGTTTTCCTTCTCGGTCCATCTCACCATTATTACACTCCAAAATGTGCTCTGTCAACTGCTACGGTGTACAAAACACCAATAGGGGACTTACCAATTGAATTGGAAGGTGAAGTAATGTTCATTTACATTGAGCTAAATATAATTTTCTTCTCGTCATTTGCTTTGTTGACAAGTCCAGTAAAATGTCTTATATATTTTATTTAGCTGATTGACTGGGGTTTTTGGTCTTGGTAATTCTTTTACATTGATGAATGTCTTGTGATTTCCCCCCCTCAAATCCCTAAGCCTCTCTCGTCCTGCACGCAAAACTTAAGTAGAGTCATCTGTTTCATCTTTCAGTCATCGAAGAGCTGAAAGCTACAGGAAAATTTGAATCGATGAATCTTCGAGTTGATGAAGCTGAGCATAGCATGGAAATGCACTTGCCTTATCTTGCAAAAGTATTTGAGGGGTAATTTTTAAACATATTTTAAGTAATGCTATACACTTGGTTCTAGTTGAAGCTGATTTTGGGTGATGGTGATATAGGCATCCAGTGAAAGTTGTACCAATTTTGGTAGGTTCTCTTAGTGCTGAAAATGAAGCAACGTATGGAAAGTTGCTGGCCAAATATATAGACGATCCTCAAAATTTCTTCTCTGTGTCATCAGATTTTTGCCACTGGGGTTCTCGGTATATTGGATTCAGTCTCTGCTTCCTCTGAAATCTCACCTTTTTTGTTTGGCATAAATATCATCTTTGTTTTGAATGATACATAAGTTGTCTTTGTATGCATATTGTGATGTAGATTGTTATATTATCCAGGTTACACGAAATGTTACTTTTACTTTCAAACACCACTTGCTCAGCTGGTTCATAGATATGGTTAAATGGGCTCTATACCCGTAAAAGAACAAATACATTATTTTCCTTTGAAGAAATTTTGTTGTTCAATGGTTTTGTCCTGATTCTATTACACGATATGGACCAGCAAAGCTTATGTGATGCTTGGATGAATATAGGCTGACATTGATTATGGTTTTCTACATTGTGGCTCAAATATTAACCTTTTCTACATTGGCGCCAGGTTTAATTACATGTTCTATGACAAGAAGTACGGTGCCATACATAAATCAATTGAAGCCTTAGACAAGATGGGCATGGATATAATCGAAACAGGAGACACAGATGCATTCAAGGCATATCTGTCGGAGTATGACAACACTATCTGTGGACGTCATCCAATCAGTGTTTTCCTTCATGTAAGTGCCTCAATAAGCTTTCTTCAAAGCTATCCAATGGCTTCTTCTTCTTCTTTGTTTAAATAAAGGAAACATTCGTGATTCATCCCTTTAAAAAACTATCCATTAGCCTAATAGCAGAATGGTTAGTTGAGTTTCCTGATTTTCATTTTTTTATCGTCATGCTTATCTTTGAACTTATATTTCAGATGCTAAGGAACATCACAACAAGAATAAAGATCAAATTCCTCCGGTACGAGCAATCCAGTAAGTGCAAAACAACAAGAGACAGTAGTGTGAGTTACGCATCTGCAGCAGCGAAGGTGGATGCTTGAAGATGTGAAAAAATAAATAAAATACTCTCTCGGGGGTGAGAACTTCTGGCAATCCCAACTCATTTGATTTGATCTGTGGTATATAACTTAATTACATGCATTTTGCAAGACCCAGTAATTGGTGGGTTTACTTGCCCATAGTTTGAGACTAATAATGCTACTCTTGTTTCTGAATTGGGGTGCTTTTTAATTCGTATTGGAAGGTGTTTGCGTGCAATATGATGACTATTAAGTTATGTAGAAAGCATATTGCCTGGGCAAAGTAAGACATAAATGACTATCTCGAATGACAAAGTAAAACATATAGGCCCATGTTTTATGCTTATACTTTGCCATTCGAGATAGCCAAATCAAAATGAAAAACTTTTAAACATGAATGTAAATGTCAATTCAAATCATAATAATTATATATTCGGTGCCTCAAATCTTTAATTACAGCGTCAGATAAATCACACTGCTTAAAGTGTCTGGTTTTGTCAATTAACATATCGCCCTAGATGTGCATGTCATTGGCCTTGATTCACAGCTAACCCGATGATGCACATTCAGTCGTAAAAAACACATACCTAAGCTGCACGTATTCTCGTTCCCACGGCATTGATAAGCGTATCAACAAAATTTCAAAATTTTCAACTGTAAACAAAACATTAAAAATTGAACATATATTACTGAAGAATCTCTTAATTGTACGGTCAAACGAAACCCTTGATAATTAAATGTTATATTTTCGAGACGGTGTGATATCTGATCTACTTATGTTGCAGTGAAGAAGAACTTCCTCCCAAACCCTTTTAGTGATGAACAAGTAATATTGTTTTTTAACTTTATTATTTATTAAATGAAAATCCTTTTAAGGTCAAATTAATGTATTAATATCTATCCAAAAATAAATAAAATAAACCCATCTGTTGGGTTAAATTCAGGCCTTATGGGCCTCAAACTAAACCGACAAAAGGGACATTTTAGGAAAGAAAATGTAATAAATGCGCAAAATGTAGGCATATCCCTTTAGCTCAGTCAACGGCTACAATGCTCGTTTTCTGATCAAAATCACATAGATGCTTAACTCCACGACCGACAGGTCTCTGTATCTCTGACATCAAGCACTCCTTCTAGGCTCATGTGCTCGTGGATGCTAATAATATATTCAACTTTAAGTCTCTCTCTTCAATTGGGATTCCTTTCGTTATAGTCTCAGTTCACGATATGCCAAAAGTCACGCAAATGGAAAGTCTGACCGGAAACGATGTGTTATTGTGCTTTGCACTGCAAGCTATGGTTCTCGAGACTGCCATTGTTGTTACTAAGTCCGTCGCTTGGTTGCTCACGATGGTCTAATTTTCTTTTATTTTCTCTATTTAATTTACCCTCAATTGTGAAGTTGCTATTTAATTTTAATGGTAGTTGCTTTTATGCCTTATAAGGATTTATTTATTCTTTCTTGAATTTATTTGGAAATTGACAGCTTTTATATGATAATTTGATTGCATTGTTCTAGAAATTAGAAGTGTGCAATTTTCAGGTTCAATGCTGTTTTTGTTTTTAATCTTTTTGAGGCTAGGGATTTTGTTACTTTGCCTAATAGCTTGTGCAAAAGTATATAGTAGGATGTTAAGGAAGAATTTGGTTAGGATCTTTATAGAGGGGAAGAGAGTAAAAGATATAATGAGTGTTTGGTAGCATTGGTTTATTTAATATGGAAGTTAATGCAATCAAGAGTAAACTGCTACTTTTCTAGATCTAAGAACAATTTCAGTGTGTTGATTGCCTTTTTTTTGTGTTCTGGTACAATAATGTTTGCTTGTTTGTCATTTGGTCTAAACATATATTTTTTGTGTCATATGGCAATGGGAAATTTAATTTTTCCTGTTGTTGAAGTTGTGTCCTTTGATGTGATAACCTGGGTGCTTATTACACATTGCTCTCAAACTGCACCCAGGAAGAAATCTGGTTTTCTTCCCAGCAAGTGTTTGGTGTTTTTTCCAGATGGGAACTCTGCCTAATGGAATTGATATCCACTTGAAAGAGCCTGAAGCAAATGGAGGGTTAGTTGCTCTCTTTTTCCTCTTTCCTAACATGTTCTTGTTCTCTTTTTGTTCCGTGGGATGGGAAAATTGACTAATTTGCTTTTGCAGGTTTCCGCTTGCTCAGCTTCTTGCAGTGAGAAAACCTAGTCCTGAGAACAAGGATGCCAGTGACACAGAGGACGATGATGAAGACGAAGAGGAAGAAGCAGTGGATGATCAAGATGAAGATGCAAACGACGAGGAGGATGCTTCTGGTGAAGAGGAAGGAGATCCTGAAGATGAACCCGAGGCCAATGGGGAAGGTGGCGGTGGAGATGAGGATGATGATGATGACGGTGGTGATGATGATGACGGCGACGGCGATGATGACGACGAAGAAGAGGAGGAAGAAGAGGAAGAGGAAGAGGAGAAAGAGCTTCAGCCACCGGCTAAAAAACGAAAATGAGCTTGAATCTCTTGTTCTAGTAATTTATTGTCTTGCTGAGGTTAGGGGTATGGTGTAGTGGGAAGCTAGAATGGGCTGATTCAAGTTACGGTGGGTGTCTGTCTAAGTTAGAGTAGAGAACATTGTGACAGTTCCGGAAATCAGACTTGTTTGATATTTCCTAATATACAGTTCTAGCATCATTATATAATCTCTTTTGCGTTTCTTTTCTACTTACTATTATTTATGACTTCGATTCTTCAGGCTTACATTTATGCATGACCAGCTTAAAAATGACACTCCTATCTGGTTGTTTCCAACCATGCTCCGGCATACGACTTTTTGTTAATTCCAAGATTCCAACCGGAGGCTTGGTAATTTTGGATTAATATGTAATGTTTTTTCCCCCCGGAAAAATGGGGTGGAGGGACGAAAGGAAGAAGACTCTACCTGATCTTTGACCAACTAAATTCATTCGGGGAGTAAAGTCCCAACTGATCTTTTTCATATGTCCGCTGCTGCTGCTTGTAGCCTTGATATTTTTCATGTGGTTAGTAAAGTTGCTTATGCATCTAAAGTTTACCATACTAGAGAATTCTGCAAAGCTAGCAAAATCTTGCAACACAGCCTTCAAATGGACAATTCCCCTCATAACCCTCTTCCGTGTTGTCCGTTTTTTGCTCTGATTTTGAACCGTCTTCATTAGTAGTTCCATTTTCATCCACACTGGCTTGCTTTTCTGATATCTGGAATTTCACCAGCTTCTCAACCAACCCTGCTTCAAGCATTGCTTCAATGGCTTCTCTTCTGCCATAATACGAGATTTCAAGTAATCGCCACGTTTTCTGAGCTTAAAAGGCTTATAATTCTTGGGATTTCTTTGTGTGTTTCTAATTCATCAACCAAAGGGATTCTGATAAACTTAATCAGTAAAGAAAGAACTCGAATTCTAATCGAGCATGAAGAGTCGCAAAGCAAAAGTTCGAGAATCGAGAATATTTTGGCTTTCAAAATTAAATCTTGAAAATGAATATCAAAACCTTGTGATAAACGATTCTCAAACTCAACCAAAACATTCACTTTCTCATCCTCATCAGCTGAACTTTCAAGTGTTCCCACAAGGTTTTGATCGCTTTCTCGACCGAAATAGGCTCGGATTTCGGTCTCTATTGCATAAGCAACTTGGTAAATCTTGTAGTTGATGATTTGGCGTCCGAGGATGCAAGGGAGGCTATGACCCTGGTATTTTTGGAGCTTTTCAAGGTGAGTTTTGTGGTTGCAAAGCATCTGAGAGAGCTTGAAAAGATTAGGGTGGTCATCAAAAGCGACGCTCTCATCCTTTTCGAGGTCCAAGAAACGTTCGACGGTGGACTGGGGTTCATGTGATGAAAAAAGGGGGCTTTTCTGCAGATCTTTCGAAGCTTTTTGGAAGGATTTTAGCAGCGAAAATAAGTGCTGATCGTCTTGGTTTGATGTTTCCTCCATTTTAGCAGCTCGTTTGCAGCATGTGGTGTGAGGGGGGAAGGGAGAGAACCAAGCTAAACGAGGGAACCCTCTCCCAACTAACAGTCCAAAGATATGATTATAATTATGACCAGACCTTCAACTAATATTGATCAAGGCTAAAACCTAATGTCGATGAACGTGTGCCAGAATCTTCTTCTGTCTCTGCACACATTCCAGTTTCCATCAAATTTGTTGTTTGTGAATTAGTGGTCTAGCTGATGGCCGTGGGCCAAGCTCAAAATTTGGTGGCTGCTAAGCTCAATTTTCTTACGCATTCTAATAGTTTGCATTCTAATAGTTTAAGCTTCAATGAAATTCTTGAAAAATGATCCCTTTAAATTACTTGTTCGAGTATTAAAAGAGTGTTCCCATGTTTTATAGGTTAAACTACATATTTAGTCATCTATCTATTTTTGAGGTTTTATTTGGATCATTTAACCATTATTGAAATGCTTAGCATGGTTCTCATCATTCCAACACTCATCTAAAATATAATCAGACTAGTCGTTTCATCAAAACTTTTTGCATCTTAAACATAAAAGAAAATTGATGAAGATCGATTTAGTTTACACAGCAAGCATTTTATTCATCGGTGCCGGGGAAGGAGACGTCGGTGTTCATTGTGTATCACAGTCACGGAATAAAAGCTGAGGGCTCCATTTTAGATGGAGATTAAGCTTTCCTGATTTAGCACCATCTATTGGAAAACTCTCTTGAAACTCCCCTTCCAATAACACCCTTGTCATTGTCATCGCTATTCTTCCGATTTTTTCCTGCAACACACGTTTGATTAAACCATTGTCACGAAGCTTTTAGCTATTCATGGTTACATTTACCTTCCTAAAAGTGTCATGGTCCAAGATGTCCAAAATTAACATTTCATGCAATGCATCCTCCACTACAAAGTCGAATGTCTGGTTCCACATAGGATTCAAGGTCTCATTAGCTACCTGAGAAAAATTAAGGGAAATGAAGCTGAATTTGCATGCCAAAAAGGCACAACCAATAACAAAAAGAACACTAAAAAAAGCTCACCCTTGTCTTAGCTTTTGCCTCAGATTTCTTCATCGTGAGGACGACAAAAGGGTCTGTCTTTCCATTAAGATCAACCGGCGGCAAGTTTTCACCTGATATAACTATCACTGATAGTACTCCTCTAACAATCACCTCTTTTTTCTTTTGAGCCGCTTTTCCGGGATCGATACCCTCCAATTCGATATTCGAAGGTTTAAGGGCCTTTTCCAATGATGTCAATGAGTAATCATGGTTAAATGGGTTCTTCAAGCTGCTGTCTGTGCCAGAAGGGTTGAAAAGGAGCTCAAGCTGCACCTGTTCGAAAGAATTCATGAAATTTATCAGCAACTGCAACATTCAAGTTGGTTAGGATCATGCCAAGTGTTAATATCATCAACTGGGATACCTACCTGACCCCTGTATTTATTATCTCTTTGGACCACCAAATCCTTGACCAGCTTCAGCCATACTTCCTTCACTTTACCAGGCTCAAGGTCCTTTAATGGAAATTGAGCACAGCCAAGGAGTTCAGAATCCTGAACTCCTTCATCATCAAAGACTTTTACAGTCAAGTGTTGTGTGGAAACATCTTCTACAATGAACTCAAAGTGCTCATTCCAAATTGGATTCAATTGATTGCCCTGAATAACTAAAGAGTTAGAAAACATAAATCCTTGAAAAGGAGATCATATGCATAAGAAAGCATGTATCTTACAATGGTTTTACTGGTTTTCGTTTTATCTGGAAGTGGACGTATAAATAAGACAGCAAAAGGATCAGATTTCCCAATGATGTCCTTATTTGTTAGTTCCTTGGCTTGCACAAGCTTCACATCTAATATTCCAACTGGTTTCAGCTCCAGAAAACTGGTGAAAGGGTTAAGGGTGTTAATCACAGAAAAGCAAGAGCCGGTTACCAGGAAGATTAATGATTGCAGGTTCTTAAACTCTTCAATAACATTGATCTGAAGACAAATCAACAGTGAATTTATCGTAGAAAGAACATGGCAACCTTAGCATACCTGTAATCCCCAGGTATTATTTGTACAATATTCCTAACAGGCCATGTTATAGAATCTTCAATAGCATTCCTAATTGTCTCCTGTGAGTACAGAACTGTAAGATCAGTTCATCAGAATCACATCTCATACTCTCAGTGGTTGAAGAAATTCAATGCAAATAATACTTCTTTATGCAAACTACTTTACATATTTATGAAATACTAGCTCACAAATGATTGCTAATAAAAAGGGTTGTTCTCTTCTATCTTGGAAAATCTACCACAGATTTTGCACTTCTTTAATTTGCCTCCATGATTTATAAACTAAGATGCATATTTTTCAAGTCAATATATAATAACAGAGAAATATATATATAAAAGCAATGAGAAAAAGGCTTCTCCAAACCTCAATTGCATCAGAAACTCCTGGTATTGATGATAGATCACCTCCAACAACTTTAAGTGTAAAATCAAGAGCTCTCTGCAGGAAGAAGCATTCCAGGAAAACATGATATCAATGTAAAAAGTAAATTCATTGAGATATCTATCATTGATGAGTTATTTTGTTATAGCATATAATGTTTTGAGCTTGTCTTTTTCCGTAAGTCGTGAAAGGAGAACAACCGTAGTGGTAATGTTAACAAGAGACGTGATAGTTACCTTCTCTTTCAAGGAATAGGCAACAGCTCCAAAACAAGGAAACTGATCAACAAGTGGTTTGAAGATTAACCTGAAAACCCCAGTGAACCCAATATCTTTTACCTAAATGAACAAGTTAAAATCAGGAGATATTAACCAAGAAGAAGGGGTTTAAGTCAAATTCATTTAACACAACAATCAAGAAAGGAAATTTTGAGCATGAGCAATATGTAAAGGCTACTTGCACGGGCAGGGTAACACCGAGTTTGGTGTTGATATTAAGGACGATGTTCGGGTTACCATCCCACTGCATATCCATCTCCATTGTGATTCCATCAGCACCACTTTCACTCTCAATAATGGAAATACCTAATGAATATTCACAATATTTCAAATTTTGGGAGATAAATCTAATTCACTGATACACTATATATTTTCCTTTTAAAATAAACCAAAGCTCTAATGTACAAGAATGTACCTGTAAATTGTGGTGCAACCGTACCAAGAGTCAGCTTGTCAAACTTCATGGACGATAAGATAGCTGGTGTATATTGTTCCAGAACTGGCTCAACACTCGCTCTTATTAGCTCCGATGCTGCCTATACCATCATAGGGAAAAGGTATAAAATACTTCTCGTTTGCCCCCACATATATATGTAAACCAAAAACTAAACAAATTACCTCGTCGACCGATGGCCAAATCTTTTCAAGTTGGACATTAAGCCAAACTAGCTGTATTAATGAAGAAACCTGTATTAGTAGAGACTCAATGATAACAACGAGAGAGATATAGATTTGATAATGATGGATCTAACCCACCTTCTGGCGCTGAGAGAAGACAACCCAAGGCGGATAAAGCTGGCGCGGTAGGATTTTTCTTGAATCTTGCACCGTCATCCTCGCAAATGCAGCAACCGTCCTTGCCTAGCATAATGTGTCACCATAACACATTAGGAAATGCACGTTCGGAAAAGAGAAGGAAAAAAAAAAGCCGGTAAAAAGCTGGAATTTTGATGCATATGAAATGGGAATACCAGAAAAGCACGACGAGTGGACCGGATTTTAGCATATTTAGCGAAACTAATGATCAACCCAATACCAATGGAGAAACCAACGAACATACCGAAAAGGAAACCCATGATTCTCTTTGGTTTTCGTTGGAACCCCCGATAATAAGATTATGAATCTTGGTGAAAAATATCATCGGGTTTTGCTTTTCCCCTGGGATTTTCTTTTCAAGGCATTGAAAGAAATAGAGCCTTTTCCTAGTGAGGGAAAAAAAACGAGAATTTTGGATCGGGGTGTTGTCAGTTATAGTTGGGGAACTACGATCTACGAAAACGAGTTTGATTTAGTCTCAAGTAACGATCAAGCAATGTACTTTCTGATCTAGAAAGGGGTAATTATGACTCAAACTGACATGGATGAATTGAAAACAAATATCATTATATTAGTAATGTAAAAAAAATGGCGTTACTAGAAACCTATCAACCAATTTTAACGGTCACAAAAGAAAATATTATTATTTTTAGGTTAAGAAATTTATGAACATTTTAAGCTTTTTCCTTAAAAGATAAAAAGTATCGAATATTGCACAATACGTATCGATATTTTCGAGATAGTTGTAATCTTCCACTTCTTCATTGTTTTAACTTATCGATACTAATATTCAAAGTATCGATATTCTAAAATTTGAACTGTGACATTCTGGGGTGCAATCGTATCTATATATCAAATCGTAATACTTTAGGCACAATCGCTTTTATTTTTTAAAATGATAATATTCCAGATTGCAACGTGTCCCATAACACTCTGGGCGCAATATATTATATTAATACACAAGTTGACATTACAAGTCGCAACCTATTTACTTTAGAACTGTGATGTTTTGGGGTGCAACCATTTCTATTTTGCCTAATCGTAATACTTTGTGCTCTTAACCTATTTGATTGTCGTGCGGAACGCCAAAGCTCCATCGGCTACAACTTTCATAATATTTTATGCGCAATCACTTATATTTTTTTAAAAAATTATAATATTCTAGATTATAACGTGATTCTAGAACTTAATTAATTTAAATCCATCACGTTATTTAAAACTTGTTATGTTGCTCCAAGTCATATTATTCTGGTTCTGAGTTAAAATATTGTAGGTCACACCTTTAACCTATAACCTTTTTTACTGGTCACGTCGTTAATTAATCTTATTTTAGGCGTCGTACTCCAGAACCTCGTATGAAAGTCATGAGAAAACATTTTACGTTAAATCAATCTTTTAAGAGATTTGACATGTTCCACATGATATTACTCGTAATATAAAGACCAATGGAAGACTCGTGTTATTATTAAATCTTCAATTAAAACTTATTTGAATTCCAAATCCTGAACATTCTGTTGGAAATATTGATCGCAAAATCACACTGTTAGTACTGATAGGAAAAATAAAAAAAATGAATAATTTGATCGTTGTAAATCGTGTCACAGTAAACTACTGTCTTAGAAACGAATTCACTCCAATATATGTAATAGTTGCATCTGGCGGATCGTTCTCGAGGTTAACACGATCGCTTTGAATTTCATACATGCAGAACCGAAGTGGACTGCTGGTGGTACTGCTCATCGCCGGAAAAAATCAGAAACTTTGAGAGAGCTTAGAGATGTTTGAGTGAATTACTGATTTGAGAGTGATATGAAACTCTCTATTTATAGGCTTGGTTTAGGGGTAAATTCATCAACAGAAAAATCATGTATAAATATGATTAATTTCTGAATTAATCTCATGTTTGAAACTGCTGAAATTAAACGAATGAATCTGGACTCTTACCCGTCCAGATTCATGTATTATTTTTCAGTTGTTTGTAACCTTTGTAATTACTCATGTAACTGGTGTAATTACACTTGTAACTGGTGTAATAAACAGTCCTTTATTCACTCTGAACAAGGCTAAAAAACCATCCAAGTACATTCAAACGTTTACAAATTAAAATTTAGAAATTGTTTGCTTGAATTTTAAATATAAATTTGAACAGTTTAAGCAGCCTATAAATATCAGAAGTATTTCACATTTTCTACATTTGTTCTTTTAGAGAGAAATTCCTCACGAATTTTCTCTAAAAAGATAACAACCACACAAATATAAGCCAAGTTAAAAAGAATGACGATAATGACAATGCATGAGAAGCCTTCCTTTTCTCTATCACTCAACAAATGAGTGCAGAATGAAAACCTTAAATACCCAATCCTAAGGTATTTTCAACTCTATGTGAGATTGAGCATTATTAACATAGTCATAGGTGGTGGTGGGGTTGTAGGGAATAACCCATGATCATGTGGGATGGTATGCGGACTCATGAGAGGACTGCCTTTACGCTGCTGGAGGGCATGGATTTGCCTCGGCCCTTCCTCTTCAATCCTAGATAACGTTTCCAACTCTTTCATAGACAGTGCTTCCAGACCGGCACCATAAAGCGGGACATGTCGTGACATTTCTTCCTGAAGTGAGGCCTCGAGTGTGTGAATGTATTGCTGCACAGACAACAAAATACATTCACTTACACTTCCTCAGCAGAGCTCTCAACTTTCCATGACAGCCCGAAAAAGATGATTCAGATGCAAACTAGAAATCTAGAAGCAAAATCGATAGATAATGGCAAGCTCGGTAGTATAGTATAATCGATTTTCACCTAGCTACCTGGTCCTGCTCTTAATTTTCCGGCTTTTCACCTTCAGTTTGCCCAACTGTTTTTGTCAATCTACGAACTTTATCCTCAGGCGACTGACGAATTTCAATTTCTTCTCGAGTCACATTTTCTGTGGCATACCGTTTCAATTCTTCATCAAATCTTCTCCGTTCAGCTTCAACAGTCTTCAATCTTTCAGCAAGAGCATTCTTCTCCTTTACTACCCTCTGCCAAACGCATAGCTTGTTGTTAGATAAAGCGGTAAGATAGCCATCAACCGAAGCCAGTCAAGAGAAAAAGAGTGAAGAGGCAACACATCAAACATCAAACATCAAAATTACCTTTAATTCGTTAAGGTACGAAGATGGGACAAGGGAGAATGAGACGCCTTTATTTTAGAAGGAATGAACGTAACTTGGCCTTTTCTACTATCATATTAGAAATTTTTGGCATTTAATGCCACGACTGTAACACCCTACACCAGTACAGCATACAATCGACCAATGAAAACGCCACACAGAACTAATGGAGTGGCTAACCCAAATCTTTCTTTATCATACCCAAAGGAAAACATTCATTAATAATTAATTGCGATAAAATAGACAATAACTTTCATGCAAAACAATTTAAATGTACATACCATAATTTAAAATAAGTTACGACTGGGTTACAAATATACATGCCCTATAAGAAGAAACCGAGACATATTTTGCTCCGAAAATCTGAGTATGGATCTACTCTGCACAAAAGTTCTTCAAGTACTCCACCTAAGAATCTGCGTAAGGAAACAAATTCCAAATGATGAGCTAACTAGATCAGTGCCACACTAACAACTAAAACAGGGGTTCATTTATAACATGCTCAAACAACTGATAAAAAAGTATAATGAATCTATTTAATCTGAAACATTAGTGAGTATCCTTGTGATACTCACTCTCTATGTTATGATAGACATCATGGTGCGGCTGAGGGATATTTACATCTCAGAGCTCACACACCTCTCTAGTCTACTGAGGATGTGGCTCACAGATTCTTTGCATCGGATATCACACCCTCGACTAAAGGATATCCAGACTGATTATATACTGCGACACCCTGAACTAAAGGAACTCGGGTCTCCGATTCGTTTCCCGATCATCAAACAAGGTTAGTCTTATTTATCCCTGCTTTATCTCGTTTTTATGTTTGATTAAGCGTTATTATTGTTTCCACTTGTAATCTTATCTAAGAGTAATTATAGAATTCTTGGGAACCTCATTTCTTTATTACAAACCCCTGAAAATCTTTAACTTAAAATGTACATTGGTATCGATACTGAATTCTAAGTATCGATATTTTTCCTTAAATATTGATATTTTACCCTATTATTACAAGCTTTACAAAGAATAGTATAGACACTCGCCGAGCCTAGTATCGATACTTCCAAGCTAGGATATTGATACTAAACGGGGTATCAATACTAAATTTGAATTTGATGTTTTGAAAATAATCTCAGTATCAATACTTCTACACTGGGTATCAATACTCTCAAGAGTACCGATACAAATTTTAGCTCCGATGTTTCCAAAAATTCCTCAGTATCAATACTCTTTCAAGGAGTATCGATACTTCCATTCAAACGAAGTCAATTTTATACTTCCTGAAGAACAGTATCAGTAATGTTCTTACAATACTGATACTCCTGCTCGTAAAGACCTTATTTAGGCTCGAAATTTACACCCAAACTCACCCACATTGCTACAATGAGGTTCTCAATTATTATTAATGTTTTATGTGATTAATAAGGGTCACAAATAAGGCTTCAAAATATGCTTATAACATAAAACATTGAATCTACCATTAACATGCTCATCAATCTAAAACTTGCAATATGGAGCTTAATTTAAAGCTTGAAAGATGATTATTCACAATCTTACCTTTACTCAATCAAACTAGAATTAGAATACTTAAAATCTCTACTTAAGAAAGGAAGAGGAAGAGAAGAAAATGGAAGGAAGAAGAAGAAGAGTATGGTAAGATATTTGTGGGTTAGTTTACGTGACCTGATATAAAAATAAGGGGAAGCTTTCAGCTTAAAATAAAAATGGGTAAACTACACTTTAGGTTCTACACTTTCAAACTCATAAAAATACCATCACCTTTCATAAAAGTTTTAGCCCAACTCAGCCCAATTTCAAGTAAACTTGGTCCAAACTACTTTAATAGGTCTTTTGGGCTCCAACTATGGGTCTCGGGTTAACCCGAACTATTAACCCGAGTTTCGGAGAGTTACAACAACTATGAAAAGTTATAAAATTATATTGTTTCTCGTCATTTTTATTAACGGTATGATGTTATTGGCACAAGAACTGAAAAAACTGGCATAAAATGATTAAGATATAGATGATTACAATAAGATGTCGAGTTTATAGTTGTAACAGTTTACTACAGTAAATGAACAAAGGAGATGCTTCCTGGTTGTATGGACTGGACCAGGAAACTACCGAGCAGAACCTTCCCTGAAAATAATATTCGCCACAGGTGGTGGAAGCCAAGTCGGGTTGCCGGTGCCAGTATGATCAATATGTTGGACATCACTATGAATTACACCGCTATGTTTTGATCTCCCAATTATCTTTCCGAAAAAAGATCCCGCCTTGATTGCTGTAAATACACCCAATGCAACCAGAAGTGGTCTCACAGCCCAATGAATATCCTCAAGATGTTGATATTTTTTAACCAATCCAGGACAATTCTTGAAGGAAACCACTTCCACTTCAGCTGGATCAGCCAAGATATCGCCGAGTTCATCTTCAAAAGTTAACCTACCAGGGAAATTAACAACTAGGCATCCATTTGGCAGGATCCAGCAAATTTTCCCAGCAGCCCATGTACCTCCTCTTTTGGGAGGCCATGCAAAGCGGGGACTAAGCACATTAGATTTCAGCCTAACAAACTGACCGACGCAGAAAGTTTCCGCCATCTGAAATTGAGAAGAATTTCCTTTCCAAAGAGTTTCTAACCCTATGAATCCAACAGCAACACTTCCTTCACGATCAATGGAATGGAGAATACCTACTGATGAGTGCCTTCTGTCTTCTTCCTTCAAACGTACCCATTCCCCAGCTGCTAAGCCAAAAGTGACCCTCTCTAGTGTTGAAACCTTAACTCGTAATGGATCGTGAATGCCATGAACCCTCACCAAAACAAAACCATCTCGATCTGCACCATGTTCTACTCCCACCACAGTTCCTTCCGGGACATCCATATTTTCAGGTTTGCAGGAGTTAGGTGGCTTTCTGGAACGTACTGTATCACCCACTAGCAAATAATCTTTTGAAAGAAACCACTCTGTGTAGCCAGTGGTGCTACCTTTTCTGTCCAACACAGTTGTGCTTGTGCTCCCAAGTTCTGTCCAACGCCCATCATGTTCACCTCCAATCTCTGAGCTGAACATGTGGTCAATTAGTTACATATATAAAGCAAGTAGGTTGACATGAAATAAATACGAGAATAATAGACATTGTCATTTACAATTCAGAGCAATATTATATATTGCAATAAAGAGGAAATGGGAAGAATAGAGTAAATGGAGAACAGACCTTATTTCTATCTTAAACTGCCATATATGGATATAAGACACCTACCATTTAAACACATTAAATATGTTTTTCATCAAAGGACGACTTCTGAAGTCATGCTCGAAGCATCCAAGAAGAATTTTCTCAACAGGAGGAGGAAGACCACCTAGAATAAGTGGCTTCTTTTTTTTTCTTACAACCAGGTCATAAATTTCATCAGCTGATTTCCCATGCCAAGGAACAGTTCCGGTGAGCATCTCAACAATACTGCATGCAAATCCCCATGAATCAGTCTCGAACGATATCGGACCTCTTATTTCCGGTTGCCACTGTTCTGGAGCCATGTAATTAGGGGTTCCAAACCTGTGTGGCATATCTGAGCTGGGCAATCTAATTCCCAGTAGCAGATATGGAATACCAATATCCCCTACAACAGCTTGATCAGTTTCATTAAGAAGAAAGTTATACGGTTTAAGGTTAAGAACCAAAATCCCTCTGGAGTGCAATTCTAAAATCCCTTGAGCCAAATCGATCCCATACCTGCAAATGTTAGATGTAGTAAATATGAAATTAACTACTCGGTTACCATCTTGAGTGTTAAAAAGGAAAGTTAAAAGACACAATCTCCATCTATTCAGTACATCACCTCAAAACCAAAGGCAATGGAAGCTTTCCTCCCTTGCGGCGAGTCATTGTATCCCCAATGGAACCCTCATAAAATTTCATTACAATACATATCTGCAGGCAAAATGAGAAAGAAAGAAAAAATTTCAGCAAGAGAATCATTGACCAACCACCATCTAGCGAACCAATATCATCCATATTAGCTGCAACACTAACCTTTCCATTTATAATAGAAATTCCCTGTAAAGAACAAATATCATCCACACCATGGCACTTGGAATATAAATCATCGAACTTATCCAACAAAGTCCCGGTATCATCTTGCTTAACCGGATGCAACATCTTGATAGCAACTTCATGGTATTGATCATAATCGTTTGTCGAATTATGATAAGTTGCTAACCAAACATCGCCAAAAGGGCCCCTTCCAATTCTATGCCTAAGTTTCAATAATGAAGGGTCAATCCTTGGAATTCTCTGATTTGAAGATGAAACCATGGTTTTATGCTGCCCATCATCGTCTTCAAGAAAGTCATACTCAGAGAAACTGGCGGTCAGAGCGTCCACAACTTTCCCAGCCATTCCTTCAATACCAATAAATTAAAAAGAAAGATGTCTAGAAAATACCCATTAGAAAAAAAAAACAAAAAACACTGATACCTCAAATACAACCTTAAAGAATCGGTGAGTTTCAGAGTGGGAGAACTTACCTCAACTAATACCAATCTCGAACTTCTTCTAAAGAGTTGAAAGAGAAGGGCTCTGAGATATCAACGAATTCGGATGAAATAGAAAAACGGGAGGATCTTTGACAATTTTAAAGCTGATAAATTGGCAAATAATTACTGGGAAAGTTGAAGAGTGTGAGCAAGGTAGATTGTTACGGCTTTTAATGGTATTTTTCCCTAAATCCTTTTAGGATAAGCTCAAATGATATTTTAATTATTAAAATTTTTAATTTTAAAAATGATAATTAAATTTATCAAATGATTATTATAATAACATATTGATTATAAAAAATAATAAATTTAATATTTATTTTACAATAATTTAACAGCATAATAATTTTTATAATATTTAAAAAATTTCAATGATTATAATAATTATTTTGAACATAATTTAACAATGTCTGTGTACTTTACCCATGTATTTATTATGGCGCCAGTTAATGAGTCGGTACTAAAAGGCCAAAAAGGATGGTTTGGTTGATCTTTCACTCTTTCTTGTGTTATAATTTAAATATAGTATTTACTGGGCATCCAGTTCTGTATCTTCAACTGGAAGTTAAAAATAAAATATAATGCGTTGTTTAGTATTTATTGGCGATGACTTCCACACCCACAACTTGAGCTGCTTACCCAAAGCTTAGTCATATTTTAAAATTAAATATCTAAACAAAAAATCCAAGGAAAATTTATGCCACAAGCTCATAATGTAACACTAGCTCAAACTCGGATAAAACTATTTGAACAAAATGCAAGTTTAGTAAACAAGGGATTTTCATAAATTACTCATCATCATCATCGATGACCTTGGTGCCTAAACCCTTCAATCCTTCAGCTGGGATTTCAGCAACAGTGACTAGAGAGTAGAGTTCCTCCTTTGCATCTTCATCGTCGTTTCTCTTGCGAGCGATTCGGACCCTTATCCTTCTTGGAACACTTCGGATCCCTCTGCTCCAGATGTGCTTGTTCAGCTTGACATCAACTCTCACATCCTTGGTTCCCATGGCCTTTTCTGCAAACTTCCTGATCTCCTTTATAGCCTTGGGAGCTTTCTTCTTGAACGTGCTGCATCCAACATCATCAACAGGAAGGCAGTCAGATACACATTATTCAACCATTTCTCAGTTTCAACGCCTTGTTTAGCATTGTAGCGGAACCAATCTTTTCTTGGTTTCATCACAACTCAACCGAGTCACCCCTAAACAACAACAACAATAAGCTTATGGCTTTAAAATCTTGGTTTAGGAACACAAACCATGAAGCTACAAATAAGTACTAGCTCTCAGGTAAGATATGCCTTTATTTCCTCTCCAATTCTAATATTCCTTCAACATATTTTTAAACATTTCAATTCCCCAAGCATTTTCACAGTAATGCGAAACGTTAGAGTGTTTCAATCCGCAATTATAAACACTTTATAGCAACAATGACAAACACGCATTCTTACAATAATTCCACAAAGTTATTGCCGTTAAAGGAACAATAATACCCATAAACGAACAAAGGGAAAAAATATACATAGAATCATAAATCAGACAATCACTTAGCACATCTAACTCTGATGAAAGTAATTGCTTAACCAGTCAAATAAATTAGAAATAAGATCGATACACATCTCTGAAACACTTAGAAGAGTAATAAATCAAGCAACCAACTTTATAGAGCAAATAGCTAATTTTACAACCAGGCAAATTAATGAGGGTTTTTAAAAGGAAAAGATGAGTTACCAGCCATGAAGGCGCTTGTGAAGGTTGATGGTGTACTCTCTGGTCACCACTTCTTCCTTTCTTCCCCTCGTTTTCTCAACCATTTTCACTCTCTCTGGAGTTGGTCCTTACCTGCATTCAGTCACCCGCATTCAGTCACCCATTGTCAGTCCAAATGCAAATCTTTAAAAAAAAGTAAAAAAGGAAAGAAAAAAATAAGTAGTCTTTTGTTTAAATATTTTCAGTTTTTAGTTGGGTTTTCTCATAAACCAAACGGACGTGAAGGGTGAGAAAGACAGACCTGTTTGCAGGAAAGCAGAAGCAACAAAAGAGAAGGGAGGCGATAGAGAGGAAGGAAGCTCTGCTAAAAATGAAATACAAAAAACCCTAGTTTGCAGCGGTGTCGTTTAAGGAGACTAATCAAATCTTGATTGAGCCCATTAAAATACTTTTTTTACTTGATAATTTTTAGGGTAAAGACGCAAATGGCCACGGATTATAAGATATTATTTTACTAAGTTTATTGACTATTAAAAATTGTAAAGTGATTTTTCGATTATAGAGTATTGTTTTTTTTAGTTCATTGACTATTAAAAGTTATAAAATAACCACACGACTATTCATTATTTTGCAGACTAGTCTTTTTTGTGTTAAAAAATTAGCGATTGTTTAAACTTTATGTTGACATGATGACTGAGATATGATAATCCTTTGAGATTTTGAGAATCAAATCTTGTCATATCAGAGTCAACACGTTAACGTTAAACTCATAATATTGTCTATTTTTAACAAAAAATGAGGAGTTTGGAACATAATAAATAGTTGGGTGATCATTTTATAACTTTTAATAGTCGAGAAACTTGATAAAGCAATATCCTATAATCGGAGAACCATTTGTCTTCTATACACTAATTTTTATTAAATTTATACTTGAATTTAAAAGTTTAATGTCACACTCATTATATCATATTAACAAGAGGGAAAATTATTAAATTCAAAAATTAATGCGGATGCAAATGAATTTAGAGACTAAAAAATGCCAAATTTGGACTGATATTTACTTACTTTACGCTAAAGTGCTTGAAGAATTTAGAAATTTGAAAATAGTGAGATTTTTATGCTAAATATTTTTAAGTGTTTTTCAAATAGATATTAAAATTAATTAGTGTGACATATCGTCAAGAACTTAGAGACTGCCCGGTCGATTTATCTGTCAGCCAACTATAATAACAGCCATGTTCGCATACATCAATCAAATCAGTTATGAATGCGTATAATTCTCTATCTTAGCCCTATGTGTTGCGTTACCAGGCTAAAGTGTGGAAAACAAAAAATAGAAAGATACAAATGAAAAGAGAGCTGTATATAGTTGAACATCAATGAACAATGATCCAATCTTGCTCCTTGCTTCAAGTTCCTTGGTCGGCAAGCAATCATAGGTTTTAAACATACAGGTTCGTTAAGGCTTCCGTGAATATCTCCAAAAGATGGCTGCCAGGACTGTTATACCGGCGATGGTCGCTAAGATCTGTCCCATACGAGAGTTAGTTTTAGTTCCGAAATTAACGACTTTTCTTAGAAACATCTTTCTATAACAGAAGTCATGAATCAAGAAGAAAAATTTGGACCAAAGTGCTACAAAGATCCAAAGATCCAAATAACGCAAATCTACCATATGCAGAAGGATCACAAGGAAAGGAGAAGGTAACTGACCTTTGCATCTCTACCAAATGTATTTTGCTGGAAAAGAGATCTCAGAAACTTAAACTGAGAAGCTTGGGGCATAAGAATCACAATGGTGTACTGGTTTTTGCATGGATAAGGCAGTATCCCTTGCAGTGCTGACTGAGCAGTTGGAGGTGTCACGGATCCTCTAAACCTGGACCGTCCTTCATCTTGAACCTGTAGAACGACAAGCTTGAGTTTCAGCATTTACAAAGCCAAAGTTAACAGTCATCCACATAGAACGTATTATCTTTATCCTTTAAAAATAGTTTTAGACCAAAAGTACTTTTGAACTTTATGGCCAAATCCGTCGACTGAATGTACATAGTTCTTGTGGATATACTTGACCCTTTGACTTGAGACAGAATCATTGAAAACCAAACTCTCAGATTAGAGTCATCAGTAAGTCACACAGAAAACAAAAATTTAAAGACAGGCGGGCGAACCACCTTGAAGGAAGTGTCAACATCACCATAGTAGACCCTTGATTGGTAGCTTCCCAAAATTCTATCCAGCCAGAAATAATTTCCCTGAGAGAGAGAGAGAGAGAATGAAAATAAGCATTTAGAATTCAGTAATGCTATATTGTTTATTATTCATAGGTCGTTGTAAGGTAAAATACAGTGAGATACAATTCTGTAATGGGCTACCATCCTTGAAACTGCGAAGACTAGCACAAAAACTTCAAAACACAACACATAAAAAAATTAACCTGCAGTCCATCTTCATGGGCTCTTTGCTCAATTTCAAGCACGGTTGCAACATCCTGATCTGTAGGCCCTTCTTCTTGAAGACGTACTACTTCATCCAAAGCAAGATCAACCTGTTCCGCGATAAGCATTTAGAATTCAGTAATGCTATATTGTTTATTATTCATAGGTCGTTGTAAGGTAAAATACAGTGAGATACAATTCTGTAATGGGCTACCATCCTTGAAACTGCGAAGACTAGCACAAAAACTTCAAAACACAACACATAAAAAAATTAACCTGCAGTCCATCTTCATGGGCTCTTTGCTCAATTTCAAGCACGGTTGCAACATCCTGATCTGTAGGCCCTTCTTCTTGAAGACGTACTACTTCATCCAAAGCAAGATCAACCTGTTCCGCGACAGATTTTTTGAGATCACTGCCACCTAGTCACTACAACCAGGGAAAAATAGAAAGGGAGATACATACCAACTTTGAGGACATTTCTGGATCACAAGAAAAGTTTATACTCATATCTCCACGAACATCACCAATTCTAGAAGGTTTATTGCCACCAAGGAACACAGAAACACATGCAGAGTAAATCTGGTACATAAAGAAAGGTTATAAAATATCAGCCAAATAATAATTAAACAGATAAATACAAATCTCAGGGGAAGTGCATACCTGCCCATACTTAAAACGAAGAACCTGCAGTATTTTTGTTTCAATGAGTTTGCCCAGGAAACCGACACATTGAAGCTCTTCTTCCTGCCATATTAGTTCCAACAGAAAGGTGGACAAAATAAAAGAAAATGTCGGTAAAGATTTTCATTTATTCCTTTGCCAGATTACATGGACCTGTAAGAGGAAAAAATAAAAAATAAACCTCACACGCCGTTGTCCCATTCTTCAACACCACAGGAAAGCATAGCTGGACTGAACATTGTGCTTCTACCATGGGGCTGCGTACCACCTCTCTACAATTACAACTATGGGTTAGAAAGATTTGTCGTATGCCGGTAGAA